TCGCTCGTCCATTATCCTTTACTAAATGGGATCGATCGATTGGTTGTTGCCTTTTTCGTTATAAAAGCATAAATTGCATATTTTGCTTTAAATTGCATATATTTTGCATATTTCTAACATTTTTATACCATATTTTGCATATTTTTAATATTTCTAGAAGGAATCTTGGAAGCGTTTATGTGAGGAGCTGGAGAGTACCACGGAGGCATAACGTCTACGTAAGGTGCTATCCAAAGACCCCGGTACTCCTGGATTCCTGATGAAACCGGATGGTAACTTTACTGAAAGTAGCACCGAAACTCTGGTGCTGCTTATGGAGACACACTTTCCGGGCTGTAGAGATGATGAAAATGAAGGCTCCACTTTGGAGCACCACGCAGCTTCTCGAATCCACATAAGTGAATTAGTTCCATTGTTAGTATGGAGAAAATTTCATGGGCGGTGTCATCCTTCGAGCCTTATAAATCTCCAGGGCCAGATGGCATATTCTCAGCACTACTCCAGAAATCGTTCACCATCATCATGCCATGGCTAATTATGATATTTAGGAGCAGACTGGAAACAGGATATACTAAAGATAAACTAAAATATGGAGAGAGGTTACAGTGGTATTTATCCCCAAAGCGGGAAAAGTAAACCATTGTATCGCCAAAGGCTATAGGCCGATCAGTCTGTCATCGTTTTTATTGAAAACATTGGAAAGATTGGTCGACATCCATGTCAGGAATATCATCTCTCCTTATAATTTCTGTAAGGCACAACACTCATACCTGAATGGGAGATCGGTGGAGACAGCCTTACATGACGTTGTCGGAACCATAGAGAAGGCACTTGACATAAAAGAATATGTTATGGCATTTTTCTTAGACATTGAATTCACTGGGTTACCTAAGTGTTGATAAGCGGATAAAAAATTGGACAGAAAACATGCTTAAGAGCAGGGCCATTAACTCTAATATGGGTATTGGCAAGACAGGGAAAGTTGTGACAAGAGGCACACCACAAAGTGTGATTCTTATTCAAGGGAAATTTCTTCTCACAATAAGTGAACTCATGGAATCAGCCCTCAGTGTTCTACTATCATGGGCCAAAGAAAACGGTCTGGGTGTTAACCCGGCCAAAACTAAACTGGCTCTTTTCACCAGAAGGTATAAAATTCCAGAATTCAGACCTCCGCGTTTGTATGGTACTATTCTATATATCGTCACCTAAAACGTCACCTAGAACTAATATCTCATTTTCTGGATTCGTTAAAAGCCAACAAACTGATGTGATATACACAGATTTTAGTAAAGCCCTTGATAAAGTTAATCATAAATTGCTAATAAAGAAACTTGATACTATCGGATTCTCAGGCAACTTTCTGAATTGGGTATGCTCCTAGTAGGGATGCCAATCCCGAAATCCCGATCCCGAAAATCCCGGGATTTTTCGGGATTAGAAAATCCCGAATCCCGGGATTTGCAAAATAAATCCCGGGATTTTTTCGGGATTAGGATATCCCGAATCCCGGGATTTTTCAAAATGAATCCCGGGATTTATTACTAAACATTTTTTTTTAATTCTTTTTTGAGCCATAATTTCATTCAATTCGCTTCAAAATTACGATCTTTGTTTATTTTTGACTTATTCAGCACAGCTATTCTTGTACATTTTGAACCTTTTATTTTTTAAAGTGGTATGATACCAAATATAGTACATACAAATTTATTTTTTCATTTCGTCGTAGACCCAAAAAGTATACACATTCTTTGTCTATAGTAGATATAAATTTGGACCAAAATTAACACAAAAAATCCTAAAAGCACCTCCTCTGAAAACCAATTTGATGCTAATATTAATGTATTGACCAATCAGCAATTTAATGAGATTCATTTTTAAAATAGAATCGATTTGAATCTACAAAAATAATACAAAAATTGTGTAATATTCAATTTCTGCGGCTTTTCATACAAATTATCATATTTTTTAAATTGATTTTCTTAAATGGAAAGTATTTTGTTGTCTGCGTAGTATTTTTAAATAATAAACCATTCCTCGATTGAAATTAATCATACCTTTTCAAATCTATTGATTTCAAATTGTTCGAATTCCATCACATACCGGAATATTTATTTATTTTATTTCGGCACAGTCAAATATAAAATAAATTTTTAAATGATATCTAGAATGTTTTGCTTTACAACCCAGCAAAAAAAGAACTTCCAAAGAAGCGAAAAAGAAGTAGAATTTACTCCATGGAAGTACTGAAAAATAACTGAAGAAGTGATGATTTTAACACAGGCTTGTCATAGGAGGGATGTCCTTTTTATTTGATTCCAAATTTACTACTTCTGAAGTCATTCTCAAGAAGTAATTTTTATGATCCTTTTTTGCAAGTTATTCGAAAGTGAAATTGTATTATTATAGAATACAACTAATTTGCCTTAAATAATTTTAAAACTATAAAGGGTAATAGATACATGTAATAAAACAGAAGCCGAAAAGTAAAATGTTTTATCTCCCAAGAATGTAAGAACAAAAAAATATCTTCAGCTTTGAAAAAATATAATTATTTTCCAATCTTCGGAAGTCTTTAAACATCACTTCCTCAGAAGGTTAAAAAATTCACTTAGTGCTACTTTTAAAGTGGTGATAAATGGTATTCTTTTGGAAGTACTTCGTTTTAATTTTGCTGGAATGCTTTCTATAAATCTGAGTGATAACAGTAAAGGTAAATTAAATTGTTCTGAATGTAGATAACATGTTTCAAAGAAAAGGTTCATTTATGATCTAACCTGATATTCGAAGGATTGAACGTTATATTTATTATAACCTATTGGTCCTACACCCACCTTAAAGTATACCGATCGAATCAGAATCGCTTTCTGAGTCGTCGTTTGACATTAGCCCCCATTAAAAAATATCTTAAACGTCCAAAAATTTACTTATAACCATTAGTATCGCGATGACATTCAGCATAACTAACATTTATATAAAATTACATGCCTCTTCCCAAATGTTTGAGGATCGGCCCATATTTGACCCTAGCTCCCATATAAAGCCTCTTTTAGAAATTTAGTTTTTCATCAATAAATTGCTTAAATACATCGGAATTAAGGTAAAATTCAACAAATTTTTTATGAAAAATAAATAATTTATCTTCTGTCGATTAATTTTCACAAGATTAAACAATTTTCTTCACAAACATGAAGATTTCAGATTTTCATGTATAAAATAATTAAATTTATGTAATCCCGAAATCCCGTAAAATCCCGAAAAATCCCGGGATCCCGAAAAATCCCGGGATCCCGAAATATCCCGGGATCCCGGGATTGCAATTTTCAAAATCCCGAATCCCGGGATTTGTAAAAGCCAGTCCCGTTTGGCATCCCTAGCTCCTACCTTCTAAATAGAAAACAATGTGTAATTTTCAATAATTCCAAATCCAAATACATAAATGTAATTTCTGGTGTTCCCAAAGGTGGTCACCTTGGTCCTATCCTATTTCTCCTATTTATTAATGATCTTCCAAATTCTATTGAACACTGCAAAATCCTAATGTATGCGGACGATGTAAAAATTTTTCCACATTGAATAATAAGACTAATACACGCTATCTTCAATCCGATCTGAATAAATTTCATAACTGGTGTGTAGCTAACTTAATGGAACTAATTCTGAAAAAATGTCAACACATGTCTTTCTCAAGATATTCTCCGTCCATAAATGACTATTTTATTGATGGCATTAAATTTAAATCCGTCGACTCAGTTATAGATTTGGGGGTTAATTTTGATCGAAAGATCAACTTTAATTCTCACGTCATTATGACTGTCAATAAAGCAACTGGTGTGATAAGCTTTATAAAACGTTGGGCAAAGGAATTTAATGATCCATATGTGACAAAACGCTTATTTACAACGTTAGTTAGACCTATACTAGAATACGCATCTGTTATATGGAATCCACAATACAACGTGCACATAGGAAAACTTGAATCCGTGCAAAAACAATTCCTTACTTTTTGTCTTCGGAATCTACGATGGAATTCTGATACAAATCTACCTCCTTATCGTAGTCGTCTAGCACTTATAAAGCTTCCAATCTTAAAGAGTAGAAGAATGGTCTCAAATATTACATTTTTACTGAATTTAATAAATGGAAAATTTGACTCCGAATTTCTTCTCTCTAATATCCGTATTAATGTTCCAATTAGAGCACTCAGGTCTTATGTTCCATTATATCTTGAATTCCAGAGGTCGAATTTCATAAATTTTGATCCTCTTGGAAGTCAACAATTTATATGAGCTAACTGATTTTTCTACTCCCGCTGGTGAAATAAAAAGGAGCCTGATTTATTATCTCAATTCAAATTTATATGTTTATAATTGTTTTCAATAATATACTTTTATAATTGTAATGTTTTTATTTTTAAACATGTAACTTATACACTCCCGCTCACTTAAATAGGTTCACTATTTTGTTTACATTCAAAGTAATTTTTTGCAAAAAAATAATTTACTAATTGGTTATATTAAAATTTTGATTAATACCATAATGTCTTATGTATCACTAGATAGATATTTTTTTCATTTTCAAACAACTCACACATGTATATAAACATTAATGATTGTGATGAGAACACTTGACAACTTTGAGTATTTGGCATTTTTTATTTTTCACCATTCACTTTACAAAAATGTGCTAAAATAAAATATAAATATTTTCATTTATGTGTGCTTAAAATAAAAGAAAAATTAGCTTCTCATTTCCGGATGTGAACATAAAAAACAGAAATTGCTAATTTCATTCAAGTCTATCAATTATAATATAATAAATTTATTATGAATGTATCAATTTACATATGTATGTACATAAGTGTTTGTATACCCTGTTTTTCTGAACCCTGTTTTTCAGCCTATTCGGTTTACTGTAACTTGTTTAAAATTGAGTTACAAATTTCGACGATTACTAACAGAGCAAATTAAATTAAAACTTGAAAAAATATTTATAATTACCGAATTTTTTGAAAAGTTTATATGTTGTTGATTATTTAGTTCTTCTGTTGAATTTTTATAACATCGATATTCATCACAATCACTTGATATTATGTAGGGGCCAAATAAATCTCCCAAACCTTTCTTATGTGGTCCAATTTTACAAAATACACATATCCAAGATGAATCGGCTGTGTCTGCATCATACCTATTACTCAATGTGGATGAATGGCATCCTTTAACTGTTTTTCGTTCGTATACATAATTGCAGTTTTTTTTTGATCTAGTCCATTTTTCACTAGAATCATCAGCTGTCACAGTGTTAACAACTGCAATACTGCCGTTATTTTTTACTAAAATAAATGGAGAGCGATGTTTAGAATCAATATCTTTAGTTTGCAGAGTTCTTTCTTCAGTGACATTGTCGTTTTCAGAAGATAATAAACGTTGCATACGTCGTTGTTTTATTTTTTGCCGACTCTGTTTTGCTTTATTTGAAACTTCAGGTTTTTTTTTGTTATTGGATTTAAGATAAGTAATTTCTTTTTTATATTTGGAACCATTTTTTTGATTGTTTTTATTTTTACCAACATGTTTTCTCAAATTTTTTACTTCCTTATGAGTTTGTGACTCAATTAGGTTGGATGCCATATCATTTTTTCTAATGAAATTATTATTGATAGCCTTATCTTTATTTATCTCATCAGTGGCTGTCATCGACAATTTTAATAAATCTGAATTCATTGCAATCGAAAGTCTTCTACGTGGTGGCATTGTTTTTAAATATAGTAAAGATTTCGGAATTTTTGAATCCGTTTGATCTGATAATAGAGAAATGTCGTGTTTATTATTCTCAATATTAGGTAATGAAGTTGAGGACTTTTTAGCACCTTTCGTTTTATTTTGTGTAAACGTTTCATATATAAAAGTGTTATCCACGAGAACTTCCTTTCCAGTATTTACATTATCATGACAATTATCCTTGATACATTTTTCTGCAGAGTCTTGAATGTTTTTTCTAGACATATGTGTATCATCGGCTGTTGTATTTAATAATTGTTCGTCTTCTATCCCAGCAAACATTTCTTCTAATTTATCTTCAATCTGCAAAAAATTGTAAACCATATAAAAAATGATCAGTTTACGAGGATTGAAAAAGAAATCTTTAATTTCATTCTTATTGGTATTTTTATATAAATTTTATACAAAACATATACATTTTTTAATAGAATGCAATTGCAATAAAAATATTACAGTAATAGTATTTTTTCAGGGTACGGATAGTGATGGAATTCAATTCGCTCGCGAATTAATTTAATTCGAGCGATTTAAATATGTTTGACTCTCAAGTTTAAAAATGAAGCTCGCGATAAAAGTTGAAAATTTAAAGAGCGTTAAATAGAACTCGCTTGCGATTACAGTCAAAACGAATTAATCGCGAGTTTTAAAATTTTGTAAATAAAATAAATTAAATTTTAAACATTTGACATAACCAAAAAAGTTTCCCATTGAAATTATGTATATACATCAGAGGAGTTTAATATTTAGATTTAATTTCAAGCGTTATAGGGCAGGGAAATTCTGCTGACACTACGTTGACACAGTTGCTGATGAGCACTTTAAAAAAAACACAGGCACACAACAACAAAATTTTGAGAAAGCCGAATTAATGTAGGAGAATGATATAAAACAGTTGATAGTTTTTTATGTATAGACTTTGATATACGCTGACTGTCAAAATGCATTATAAATATTTGACTGTTAGCATATACTCTATAGTTTGTAGTCATTTTATTAGTACACTTTTATTTTGAGTTGAATTCTATTCTCTGCTGCTTTACCAACACAAATAAAACTATGGTAGTATGTGTTTGAGCTCCACTGATATACAACCATATGTATGTACTTTAGAGTGTCCCGAGGAACAGCCTTTTTAAGAATTTCATGTAGGAATACCCCTCAATCGATGGGTATTAATGTACTGAACACCAGAAAAATAAAAATTATTTTCAGTCGCTGGTGGGGAATAGGGCAAATAATGTACATTATTTGCTGTTAAGTATGTACATTATTTGCCGTTAAGTAGTAGACACATGATGGATGTTGTATGTAAACTATTGAAAGGTGTACAAAAGGGCAATCCCCCTTGGTAGGATCCCGAAATTGCGAAAACTCATAGGATGTGTCGTAGATTATTTAACGATGCAAATAGATCAGGAATCTGGTCTCTTTATAAATCGAAAGTTATTGAATTTAAAAATCAGGTACGAAGTGCGAAACGTGGAGAAATTTTTGTAGTACTATAGAAAGCTCCTCAGAAACGAGTCATCTTCGAAAAATCTTGTCTAAATTCCCTTCTGTTGGACTGCAGAAGTCTGGAGACTCTTGAACCTCTCCTGAATATTCACTTCCCCATCGATCATGTTAAAATAGATTAAGATATCATCCTGGCTTGGCAATAAGGAGTTTTTACCTATAAATCGCCTGGTCCAGATGGCATAATTACAGCGCATCTGCAAAAAAAATGTACATCTGATAATTGTCTGGCAAAGTGCAATTTACAAAGCCTGCTTGTCCTGGTCCTACATCCCAACTTATTGGACCAAGTGTAATGTGATATTTATTCCAAAGGGGTAATCTCATACCAAGGCAAAGGAATTCAGACCTATCAGTCTGGAGTCATTTCTGCTAAAAACTTTGTAGAGAATACTAGAAGATATACATATCAGGATATCGATTGACAAATCTCTTCTCTCAACCTACCAACATGCCTACATAAAGGCTAAATCCATTGAGACGGCACACAGTGGTATAGGAAAAAAAAAAGGGAAATAATTCGGTAACTTCTAAACGGTTAATCCGATTTTAATGAAATTTGGTATGCACAAAGAGGAGGTGTTGTCGAGTTTAGGTTTTGAATTTGGACCTTATATCATTTTGTAACGGGTTTTACAATTAGGTAGATTTTTTTACTCAAAATCCAAAATTAAATAAAAATTTCGAATTTTCTTATTAGAAATCCCGGAATTCCGAAAAAAGTTTTAAAAAATCCCAAAAATGGGATTTTTTGGTTTTTTGCCTATTATATCCATACCAGGGGCGGGGTTATCGAAACCCGTTACAAAATGATTAAGAACATATTGGGTCATATAAAACAGGTCACTATAATTTGATATCGACTATGCGATTTGAGAATTTTTGCTCAAAATTGAATTTTCCATTTTTTAAATCGGAACTCAAATGAAGAAATAGGATCGTTTTAAAAATTTAATATAGCCGAGGTGTCCTAATTTGAGGACCCCCCGCCGGGCCCCTGGTTGGCCTATAAGGTCCAAATTCAAAACCTAAACTCGACAACACCTCCTCTTTGTGCATACCAAATTTCATTAAAATCGGATTAACCGTTTAGAAGTTACCGAATTATTTCCCTCTTTTTTTTTTCCTATACCACTGTGCGGCATTACATTCCCTTATTGGGTATATTGAAAAATGCATGGATTACGGTAATTTCACTTTGGTTGCCTTTCTTGTCATTGAAGGCGCTTTTAAAAATGTAAAATCTTCACCCATCTGTCAATCCCTCTCTCAGATGGGCGTGGACCAATCTATTGTGAGTTTTGTGAAGATCTTGCTTTACCAACGGATTATTGTATCTTCACTGGGGGATACAACAATCTCTAAAAGTGGCATGCGGGGCACTCCTAAAGAAGGAGTGTTATCCCCTCTCCTGTGGAATATGGCTATTAACGGACTAATAGTTAAACTTCATGCACTAGATTTTAAAACGGTTGCTAACGCTGCCTTTGTGTAAATCCTGGGAAAACGGAACTTCTATTGTTCTCGTGCAAATACAAAATTCCTCAATTCCTTCTTCCCCGTCTAAATGGCGAGGGTCTCACACTGTCGGATAGCGCAAAGTACCTAGGTGCTATGTCTTGGGGATTAATATACTCTCTAGATCATCTAAAGCTATACATTATACGACTGTAGAAAGGCTATTGGCTTGCACTGGGGTATAAACCACGAAAACGTAAATTGCCAATATGAAACGGTAATTAAACCGATAATGATGTATGGGGATATTGTCTGGTGGTATGCACTTAACAAATTATCCAACATAAATATTCTCACGAATGCACTATAGTTCAAACTACCACTTTTCCTGTTCGAAATTATTATTTTGGAACAGTGAATACAATTTATTTTTACCAATACACATATTCAAATTCGCAATAAATTTTTGCGAAATGCTAAACACTACTGCACGCAGTCAAAGTCATCATTTCAAAATATTTAAAAAATTTATTTTGTAGAGTCTATATTTTATCATTATTTTTAAACGTTAATTCTGGAAAGTGTGTAAATAATTTTCAATAACTGTCAAATGGATAGCACTTAGAAGTGTCAGTAGTTTATATACATATATTCTTGTAAATTGTTTTCCTTCACTTCGAAAAAGACAACATTTAAAATAATAATAAAAATGAATTTGATTTTAAAATTTTAACTTCTTGAAAGCTTTTAAGAAAATGTTGACGTTTGTTAAACCTGAAATAAGAAGAAATGAATAACCTGAAATGTTGTGAATTAGTTTCACTTTACCCAAAATTGCGCATTTCTGCGGGTTTTGAGTAATTTAATATTTTCTAGGGTGCTACCTTATAAGCATTTTCATATTTGATTAAATGACTACGCAAAGGATGATGTCCTTATCAGAAATGTGTTTTTGTCATCCAGTTATACATGGTGTTTGCAAGGAATTACTGTATTTAAAGGTCCGATTTTTCGTAATTTCGTATCAACAAAATGGAGAATTGCAAAAAATTGTGTATTAAAACTGATTTATTATTATGTACTACATATTAACAAGACAATTTGAGTTTTTAAACAGTTTTAAGCTATCATTACCGCTAAAATACCTTTTCAGCACAACTACCGTTACCGCTAAAATACCGATAATGAAATAAGCCAAAATACCGATAACGCTAAAATATCAATACCGAAATAAGCCAAAATACCGATTACGCTAAAATACCAATACCGATATTTTATTAAAAAAACTAAAATTTCCAAAAAGTGAGTAACTCTTCATTTTATTAATATTGTTAACAGTACTGGCGTTTTTTATTTCTTTCTCAAACATTAGCAACCTTCTTTTTATACCCACCATCAAAAAAGATGGGTTGTATAATGAATTTGTCATTTGTAACACATCGAAATATTGGTCATAAACCCACAAAAGTATATACATTCTGTGTCCTTATTAAATTCTAACCCCCATTATCTCAATTTCTGGTTACATTTTATCATAAGGATAAATTGACATTTTTAATAAAAAAATATTTTAACCGACAGAATATCTATAGGTTTAACGATAACCGGAGGTGGAGTTAACGGGGCTTAGACGAATATATTGATGAAATGCGACACACATAAGTTTTATGCGACCCAAAATCTCTCTACCTTATAAAATTCCATTCAGAAAATAAATTTAACGCTCATTACTGGCTAAAAACCAGTATAGCGATGAAATTTGAGGCGTCCCCAAAACAAAAATGAAACAACTTCCTAAAAATTTGTTCAGAAAGCTAAAACAACGAAATTTGGGGATTTAATTCGCTTTTGGGGCATTATTTCACATTTAAATTGTGAAATAATTCCTCAAAATTCAAAAATGAAATAAATACCTAAAAATATATTTGGGGAGTTATTTCATTATATTACTTTTATTACACGAAATAAAAAAATATGGCGTCATGAAATAACTCCCCAAAACAAAAATGAAATAAGTCCCCAAATTTGAGGACTTATTTCATTATGAAATAATACCCTATTTTAAAAATGAAAAAAATCCCCAACGAAATGAAATAACTTCCTAAATTAAAATGAAATAACAAACACCCCATTTTTGGGGAGAAATCCCTAATTTTAAAATGAAAAAAATCCCTAATTTTAAAATGAAATAAGTTCCCATTTAAAAATAACAAATTATATAACATGTTGGTTTTAGTGACATTTCTAAAAAAAAGTAGGTCGCTCATACTTTCGAGTAGGTCTTCAAAGTTTAATACATTTCAGTTTAATCGCTTAATAAAGATTCCCTT